AGAGAGAGAGAGAGAGAGAGAGAGAGAGAGAGAGAGAGAGAGAGAGAACCACAGGGGGCCTGGATTGTTTTCTCTAAAACTAATACTAAAGTCTAACAGAAAATTTTAGAGTGACAGAAGTTTTCAACATCACAGAAGGGGCAGCTTAGGAGAAATTAAAACAAATCTGAAAAGTATCTCTAACTGTATTTTATATGGTAAAGAGTAAATGATTTATATTTCTTCTTTTCAAGTTTTAGTTTTATATCCAAAGTACGTCAACCAGAAATGTTGGGGCACCTGGAAACCAAGAGCTGGGTCTACACACCGAGTAGTGACCGAAACTTCTGCTACAGGTGGACCATTAGCAACTTCTCTTTTCTCGTTGAAGGAATGGAGGAATATATTACAAGCCCAACGTTCTCATCAGAGGCCAATGACAAAGTGGAATGGTGTTTGAGAGTATACCCAAACGGGGTTGATGAAGAAAGCAAAGGTTACCTGTCTCTTTACCTGATGTTGGTCAGCTGTGAAAAAAGCCCAGTTTTGGTAAAGTTCCGTGTTTGTATCTTAACTGCCATGGGGGACAAATGCAATAATGCAATGAGCCCATGTGTCTATAGTTTACTGCCACACCAAGCCTTTGAATTCAAAAAGTTCATCCTTCTAGATTTCCTCTTGTCTCAAACTGAGTCACTATTATTGGATGACAAACTTACCCTCCTCTGTGAGGTGAGCATGGTCCAAGGCTCCTTCAGCATTTCTGGACAGAACACAAGACCACCAATCAATATTCCAAGGTGCACATTGCCAGATGACCTAGGGGAACTGTGGAAGAATTCCCTCTTCACAGACTGCTGCCTGTTGGTAGCTGGCCAAGAATTCAGGGCTCACAAGGCCATCCTAGCAGCTCGATCTCCAGTTTTCAGAGCCATGTTTGAGCATGAAATGGAGAAGAGCTTAAAGAACCACGTTGAGATTCATGACCTGGATCCTCAAGTCTTCAGGGAAATGATGGGCTTCATCTACACGGGGAAGGCTCCACATCTCCACAGCTATTCCCTGGCCAGTGGTGTGCTGGCAGCTGCTGACAAGTATGGCCTGGAGGGCTTGAAGGTCCTGTGTGAGGATGCCCTCTGCAGGAATCTGTCTGTGGAGAATGCTGCACAAACTCTCATCCTGGCTGACCTCCACAGCACAGAGCAGTTGAAGACTCAGTCCCTTGATTTTATTGCATTTCATGCTTCTGAGGTCTCTGAGACCTCAGAGTGGAAGTCAATGGTGGAGTCACATCCTCACTTGGTGGCTGAAGCATTCCACTCCCTGGCTTCTGCAAAGAGTGTTTTCTTGGCCCTCTCTCTCAAATGACTTAAGTAGTCATTAAGACTTAGTCAGCTATGACCTACACTGTCTTACAACAGCAACAACTTGTGTTGTTCCCAGTTACTCCTGGTTAGACAATAGTATTGCTGGAGTATTCATCCTGAATCTGGGGAAGGGCAGCATGGTATCTCAGTACTTACAATAGCTCTAAATATGTTGGTGTGGTGGGTGGGAGAAGGGCAGCATTGGAATCTGGGACACTCTACCTGACATCTACCCTACTGATGTTTTTGTATGATTTTTGTCTGATGTCTTGGAATCTAGAATTCAACTTAGGTACTGGCCTGGAGCACAGCCTCAAAGGGTTTCTTCAGAGAAACCTATCTGCATTGGACTAAGCAAAAAAGATGACCAGGGCCTCAGAGCAAAGGCGAAGTAAAAGCTGAATGTTTAGTCTTAAGAGAAATGATAGGGAAAGAAGGCTTTTAAAAAAAACTCAGTTTGGTGGTTGGAATATGCATGGCCCATGGGAAGTGTCACTATTAGGAACCATGACCATGTTGGAGGAAGTGTGCTCTTGTTAAAGGAAATGTGTCACTGTGGAGGAAGAGCTTTGAAGTAATGTACATGGTCAAGCCCTGGCCAGTGTCACACAGTCTTCTTCTAACTGCCTTCCTATCAAGATGTTCAGTTCCTCCTCCCACACCATTTGGACTTTGACACTGTTATGCTTTCTGCAATGATGATAATGGACTGTACCTCTGAAACTGTAAGCCAGCCCCAATTAAATGTCCGTTTTTTAAAGTTGCCTTGGTCATGGTGTCTCTTCACAGCAATGAAAACCCAAATAAGTCACTTAGTTTTGGGGAACTAGAAAGAAAATTCAACTGGAAAAATCAATTTTCACTTTCTTAAAGAACCCTTGTTAAGTTTCCAGCATAAACAGGAGAGTTCTCAACCATCTGTAACTGGTGAGCCAGAGGATCTGAGGCCTCCTTCTGGTCTGTATGGCTATGATGGTTTGAATATGTTTGGCCCAGGGAGTGGCACTATTAAGAGGTGTGGCCTTGTTGGAGTAGGTATGGCCTTGTTGGAGAAAGTGTGTCATTGTGGGTGTGGTCTTTAAGACCCTCATTTTAGCTCCCTAGAAGCCAGTCTTCTCCTGGAAGATTTCAGATGAAGGTGTAGAACTCTCAGCTCCTCCTGTACCATGCTTGCTTGAAGGTTGCCATGTTCCAGCCTTGATGATAATGGACTGAATTTCTGACCCTGTAAGCCAGCCCCAATTAAATGCTGTCCATATAGGAGTTTCCTTAGTCAAGGTGTTTGTTCATAGCAGTAAAACCCTAAGACAATGGACAAAACCAGCTCTTGTAGACAAAACTATATCCTAATAAAATATGATATGAATTAAAAAATTGGAATGTGTTTATGGAATCCTCTCGTGGATTGCCTTGGTGTAGTTTGTATTTTGATGGTAATGCTACCCTGGATAAGGAGCAGGTCTCTTATGTGATTCCATGTGAACCTGCTCCCCATTTTAACTGGTCATATAAAGACTAGAGCCTGTGATTGGGCAGTGGAAGGGAAAGGCGGGGCTAGAAGTTTCAGAGTAGGAGAGAGGAAGAAAGAAAAGGAAGGTGAGTAGGAGGGACAGGGAAAGAGGAAAACAGAGGAAGAGGAGGTGGAAGATGGAGCAGAACTGCATAGCATAGAGGAGCCATAAGTAGCAACGGATCTCATAGCTGTGGAATACAGTAGTGTAGTGGTATATCTGCCCAATTTAGGCCTGCAGGTTATAAATATTATAACTGAGTTGTGTGTTCTTTGCATGAACATATTGAGGTTGGAGATTTACCAGTACAAATCTGGCTGGTATTAAACATTAAGGCTATCTGGTGTTTTTCCTTTGTGAAGATTTATGTGGGCAAGAGAGAGGGTAAAACTGTGGAGAGGTCATTGGTGGTCTGCAGAACAGCACCGAGGGTTGGGGAATGCCGACGACATGTAGAACAAGAGTAGTAGCTCCATGCATTCTCTGGAAGAATGAGTTTGGGTGCCTTAGCAAGTCAGCAGAGGGAACCAGGGCCAGATGGCCATTTTCTACACAGGGCAAGAAGAAAGGGTGGCTACTGATTCCAGAGCATAGCAGGAGCTATCATAGATTTTTAAAATTATAAGCAGCAGATTCCAGTGGTGTTTGCCTTCATAGGAGTCGATTTTAGCCCATCTAGCTCTTGATCTGGATGACTGGGGAAGAAGGTCTTGAGAGACAGTGAATAGAGTAGGTATGAAAGTCAGCTAGTTTAGTGAAATAGCGGGAATAGCTTATATAGCTAGAGTTGGGGTGGGGTGTTTGAGGGAGGGAAGTAAAAAGAGAAGAAATGCTGCAGTGTGGACAGGGGACTTCCAAGGTTATCAACTAGATTAGTAGACTGCTGATATCATGATTCTCTGTCAAGGAAATAGAACCCTAACTGCCTTTATCATGACTTGTCTTTGTTTCTATGCAGTTGAATAGGCACATGCCTGATTTGGGTAGAGAGTGGCTTTGTTCCAGCTGTGCTCTTGTGAGCCCCCTACACCCCACCATGTCATGCCCCACCCCAAGGTCCAGGATATGGGCAATGCTCTACTGTACATTATCTGGCTTGGGAAAAAAAAACAGCATGGAATTGGTATAAAAACAGACTTGTTGCTCAATGGAATCAAACTGAAGACTTAGACATAAACCCACAAATATAGCAAGTATCAATAATTAATTTTTGTTGTTTTTTTAAAGCCAGAAATATACACCAAACAACAGGCAGCCTCTTTAACAAACAGTGCTGGTGAAACTGGATGGGTAAATGTAAAAAAAATGCAAATATACCCAAACCCAGTACCCTGTACAAACTCAATTCCAAAAGGATCAAAGACCTCAACATATAATCAGGTACACTGAAAAAAAAAAAGAAAGAAAATAAAACAAAGTAGAGAATAGCTTTGAATTCCTTAGCACTGGGGAAGTCTTTCTGAACAGAACATTGATAGTGTTACCACTAAGATCAACAATTAGTAAGTGGGACCTCATGAGACTGAAATACTTTTGTAAGGCAGAGGACAATGTCATTTGGACAAAGCAGCAGTTTACAAAATGAGAAAAGGTTTTACCAATTCCACATCTGAGTGAGCGCTAATACAATAACTATATTTTGTTTAAATCAAGAGACTTGATGATAGGTTATTTCCTCACTGGTGAAATGAGCCAATTCAATATATTATATTTAATATATTGAATATATTATAGGCAGGCTTATTGGGAAGCTGCTCTGAGACTAGCAAGTTCACTGGCACAAAGGAAAGTCAAGGAAGCAGACATCAATGTGGGTGGTAGGGAGAGAGAAAGGGTGAAATGTGGCAACAGGGGGAAGAGAGAGGGAGAGGGAGAGAGAGAGAGAGAGAGAGAGAGAGAGAGAGAGAGAGAGAGAGAGGTCTAAGTTATATAGGGAAGAGCCTCTAGGGGGAAAGACTAGCTGTGGGCTGGTAAATTCAAGGTTGGAGGCAGTGTATGCCAGGTAAGGATTGAGGGATACTCAAATAACCTAGAGGCCTGGTATATTTTGATATATAAAATATGCATATCAGTCCCTTTTCCCAGGATCTGAAACCAAACCCTTGATGTCAAAACAAACAAATAAACAAACAAAAAACAACAACAACAAAAAACAAGTAACCCAATTAAAACTGGGTACAGATATAGAGAATTTGCAATAGAGAAAATTCAAATTTCTGAGAATCACTTAAAGAAATGTTCAGAATTGTTAGTCATCAGAGAAATTCGAATCAAACTACTTTGAGAACCCATCTTACATCTGTCAGAATGGCCAGTGTCTGTAAAACAAAGAACAGATCATGCTGGCAAAGATGTGCACCCAGAAGAACAGTCCTTCATTGCTACTACAAATGCAAACTTTTACAGCCACTATGTAAATGACAATGGCGATTGCTCAGAAAGTTAGAAATCAGTTTACCTCAAGATCTTCCAATACCACTGTTGGGCATATACCCAAAGCATGCTTCTTTCTAACACAGGGACACTTGGTCAACCACTGTGGAATACATATCAAGAAACACTACCAGATCCAACAGGACTCAAGATGTTCCACACTTCTCTTGTCCTTTTTTTTATCAGTTGGAGTTGTTGATAATCCACCCAGGGCACCAACCAATGTGTGCAGGGTGGGATTCTTAGATAATGTGCATTAGTTGGTAAGGAACTGAATTCACTCATCAGGAAAGAACTAAAACACTTTAAGTCAGTCAATTCTGCTAAGGCCAATCCTTTAAATGCAGTTTTGGTTTTGTTTAATGCATTTAATAACTAGGGTCTACAGGTATGAAAGCCTATATTTTTAATAAAATACCCTTTGTCTCCAGTAGAAAAATTGTATGGGTATTGACATTTACCTATTCATTATATTAGGGAAGCTAAAAAATAGTCTAATGCCTCTGTACTACCACACTAAGAGAAGGCAAACTCAGCTGAAGTTGCATGCAGTCAGAAAGTCAAATTTTACTGTTACCCTTTCCCCCTTTAAAAGGCTGTGGCTCAGAAAGCTTTTATATAGTTTTCCCGGAAAACAAAGAGAACTTTGGTCAAACCCAATTCTTAAAGAGCCATCACATTTGCTTTTAAGTAGGTGAAATAGTAAACTATAACCAGACACAATTTTCTTAAATTCTGAAATTTATACTGGAAAAATAAATATTTTTCTAAAAAAACACATCAAAGAAAAGATGCCTAAAGCAGTAGCTTTATTTGACATTGTATTCCTAGAGTTAGTCTTTAAGATTTTGTAATAGGATAAATGTCTTGAAAGAATTCCCCTTTCCCTGTTCCCAAGTATTCTCAGTTACTCTCACCTACCTAGACCCTTGAACTTCTATTTTTCCACTCATCCTGCTTTATTGCGTGTCCCCTGATTATTTAGCCCTATAAAATAACTCTACATTACAATCTATAATCCAACTTTTTCTAGATTATATAATAACAGCTGAGGAAG